TTGAGAGAGTCTCATTATGTTGCCCTTGGTAGAGTGCTGTGATGTCACAGTTCACAGCAACCTCAAAGTCTTGGGCTTAAGTGACTCTCTTGCCTCAGCCTCCAAAGTAGCTGGGACTACAGGCTCCCATCAGAATTCCCGGCTATTTTTTGGTTGTAGTTGTCATTGTTGTTTGGCAGGCCCAGGCTGGGTTTGAACCTACCATCTCCCATGTATGTGGCTGGCGCCCTAGGCATTGAGCCCGTTTTTAATTCTTATGGAAAAATAGTTGTCAATGTATTTTGGGGGGGAGTCTCTGGTTGGCTGTTATCACTGTGGTTGGAGTACTTCCTGTGTTTGACCAACTCCATCTTGAATCATGCTCTCTTCCAATCTTCCTGGTTTGAGGTGCCTCAAAATACTTTATGTTGAAGTTAAATGTAATGAGAATCATCCTTTTTTTCTCAAAACACTTTAAAAATAAGAGCATGCGCCTGGGATTAAGGTGGCATGAGAGCTAGCTTGTTCCAATACCTTGTCTGATGACTGATAATTTTATGTTTTAGTGATACCTTATGCAAAATGTATATAACATCATCAATATTAAAAGTTATATGAGTATTCTATAGATAATGCACTAAAATTCTGAGGAAAGAATACAATTATGGGGTGCAGAGGTTCTCTCCTATAATCCCAGCAGATCGAGGCTTGAACTTGGGAGTTCAGGACCAGTCTAAGCAAGAGCAAGACCTCATCTCTACTAAAAATAGGAAAAGTAGGCAGTCATTGTTACTGGTACCTGCAGCCCCAGCTACTCAGGAGGCTGAGGCAGGAGGATGACTTGAGCCTAGACATTTGAGTTTGCTGTTAGATAAGCTGACTTCACACTCCTCTACCCTACTAGCCTGGACACTATCTCCAAAAAAAAAAAAAAAAAGCAAGGAATAAATTTATGGAGAGTAAAAAGGGAGGGAAAAGATTGTCTGTAATCCTAGCTACTTGAGAGGCTAAGGCAAGAGGATTTCTTTTGCCTAAGAGTTTGAGATTGCTTTGCGTTATGACACCACAGCAATCTTCCGTGGGTGAGTAAAAAAAACAGAAGGAAAGAAATTGCAATTTCTTTCAATTTCTTGCAATTTCTTTCTAATGAATTACAATTCATTAGACACCTATTAATTGCCACATGAGAGGCCTGTTTGATTCACATTTACTTTTCCATGTAATGCCATGACACATATAAGAGGTATCATTATCTTATTTGAAAACTGAAGAAAATCACATTGACAACACAGCAATAACCAGGCAGCAATTAGGTGCCAGTGACCTTAGGTAAATATTCATGCATAATCCTTTACTGTGTGGTGCTAACTTGGGTTCTACTTCTGCTAAGGAAATGGGGAGAATTACATAACTTATGTGACTAGCAAACTGGTTGGAGAAAACTACCTCTACGTTCCATTTGAATTCCAAACATTTATGACATGAAATATAAAGAAATTTCATTTTCACTTTGTTTTTATTATATTACTTAACACATCTCTTAGACTGCTGAGATGTCAAATTCCCAAGCTTTGTAGTTTGGGAAAAAACAATTTGTCTGATTAACTCAGACAGCAAAAGCATCTAGATTAAGGTAAAAATTTCTATATTACTTAAATCAAACGTCTTTTTCCCAACTGAGCTATTATGTCAATATTAGTTATAAAAGAAGGGGTATCCCTCTTGATAATGCTAGCACAGTCAATTAAAAGGGGAGTATGTATAGATAGAGAAATTAGAGAAGTGAGACAAGAATTAATGAATATAATAAAATATTACATATAAAAATTTATTTTTTATATATGTATATATAAATATATTTGAACTGAGGTTCAGCTGCAATCTGTACACTTACTATTGCAGACGGGTAAACATGTACTACAGTCTAACATTACAATAGACTTTCAGTATAAATATCTGAGCCATGCCAATATATTTTAAAAGATCAATTTATTCTAGGTTTCAACTGAAGCTTTTTTTGAAATGTTATCATTTTATCTGTCTCATCTTCTTCACCTGAAATCATTTTGTCAATGATAAAAAATCCATGCTGCATAAATGCGAACACTCTTCCTAACTTTTTTTCCCCCTCATTTGGTTCACATTTAGTCAAAGAAAGTAAAAACATTTTTTCCTGTTGAATAGAATCAGCACTACTTTGTCAATTAGGTCAGGGCTTCCTGCCATTTAAAATTGACAGGAAAAGCCGAATGTAGCAGACTGTGGCACTCGAGACAGGGCTATTAGGCCTCCCAGGTTCCTTGGTCCTAGGTCTGACCTCAAATCCCTTCTGCCAAAAACCGGTAACTATCAGGAAGGTCTTGGCCGCTGGCCTCATAAAACAGAAGAAAAATAGCAGTAACTTCTAAAACACTAAAGCAACCACTAGGTTACAGTTCAATGCAGTAGACCATTTTTAAAAATCTTTTCATGAATAAATAATAAAAAATATACAGAGGTTTTATGCGACTGCTATAAAGATGGTCAAGCATGGGCATAAAATGAAAAAGGTTTTTAAAGGACTTCCCAATCTCATAGGAAGGAAGTAGAGCAATGCGGAGCGTGTTTAAGAGAATAAGCTTTGAAGTGAGACAATCGAGCTGGGGCACTCACTATCTGTGTGACCTTAGGCAAGTCTTTTGATCTTCTAGTCCATAATTCATTGAATAATTTGTAAAACAGGGATATTGAGACTCTCTCAGAAAGACTTGTTTTGAGACTTGAATTACTTATGCAAATATGGTAGCACATTACTTAAAACCAACTCAGTGCTTAAGACTATTAAACATCTTGGTTGTTATTACTTTACAAACCTGCCACATTATAAGGTGCACACACACACTTTGAAGCGATTCGTTTTGGATAAAAGAAAAATGAGAACATCAACAATTATTTAAAAGATTAAATACAACAGGACAATATGAAGTAAATTATTTCCTTGTCCTGAATTTCTTATATTTTATCCAATACGTGCATATGCTAATGAGATCATCTTAAATGGGAAGTAAAAAACACATCAGTATTTTAGAGTATCAATTTCTGGTTTTGGTGTGGTAAATTTATTAATATTTTAAACACTCTCAATTTATTTATTTTTTACCACAACTTAACTTATAAAGCTACAGACATCCTGTGCTCTCTCTATATGAAATCCAAGGTTATATCCAAAAAGATTAGCCTAGTAAAATCGGACTGTGCTTACTGATTTTTAAAGAAAGTGTCATAGCACAGACTTACCTATTTCCATACACACTATAATTCTAAAATTATTTATAAATACTTATTTCTAAATGTATGAAAATCCTTTGCAATTGTATCCTCTTGACAGTCACGTAACATTTTTAGTCTGAAGAAATATATGACTGGCATTTTTCCTCAGAGATTATTGTTCAAATGATAAAATTGCAATGACTCGGCTTGCACAAACTTAATCTGCAGAGCGATTTGATAATGTGTCATTAGATACAGGATATAAAGTTATTCTCAGTTTGTAGAGGAGGGTAAAAGAAGGCGATGCAACGGTTTAGCCAGGAAAAGAAAGGCTAAAAGATCACATTTTTATGACTATGGATTTCTCTTCAAACAAGATGAAACTGTGGCATTGCTGAGATATGAAGATGTAAGAAAATATTTTTTCCTAATTATTAACTAGAGATTTTAAAACATTATTAAAGCCAGTTTTATTCTCAAAACTCTTTCAATAAACAAACGAATGAATGAATGAATGAATAAATAAATATTGGTTAGTATCACATGGGGAAGCTGTGATGTTCCATCAATAGACGTCTATAAGAATATGTTGACTTTCTGTGTTCATGGACAGAGCAGGCAACCAACTCCTACCCAGAAACAGGGGTATTCTAAAATAATCCTCCAATCTCCCTTCCCAATTAATTTTTAATATCATTTCCCAATGAACAATTTACTATCAAAACTCAGATGGCAACCAAGCTCAACTCTGAATGTCGTTTTCATTGTATATTCCTCATCATTTTAATCACCTGACTTAAGTTTTAATCGTGTAAACTCAGTGCCTTGAAGTACAAGGTCAAGGGACACTTGTAGAATCAAAATGCTAAACGTGGCATGGCCTGAGTGTTTAGGGGTTTTAGTTTGCTTGACCAAGCTCCCCCCATCTGAAACATCTTCTGCTAGAAGTCCACAGGGGGAAGTGGCCAGCGACCTAACCAAAGCTCAGAGCCTATCTGCCAGAAACTTTACAAGGGGGAACTTCATCTTTTCAGCGCCTGGTGCTGTGTCTGGGCGGACGTGCTGAAGGGACAGCTCCCAGTGGTTTAGATCTTTTCTGTTTAAGAGCTCCGGGAAAACAGCACGCATCCCCTTCTCTGCTACAAACAGCCATTCACAAAACCCGAAGAGGGAACCACAGTCGTCCCTGATTCCTTGGGAATTTAGTTAGATTGATGTTGAAACACATCCTCTTTCCCTAGTGTAAATCGTTCGTGGGTGGAGAACTATCAGAGAGGGTAATCCAAGAGGGCGCGGGGGGGGGGGGAATAAAAGCAGATTTTGTCTTGACTTCTGAAAATTCCTCCTCCCCCTCTCCCATTTTCCTAATCTGAGAATGATGGAGCTGGAGGCAAAGGAATAATTCCGGAAATGGAGATACGACTCTCAAACCCAGAAACGATCGGGGCGATTTATTAAAGTTAAATATTCCTCATCCAGCAACCCAATACAATTCAGAGTTAAAGGCACCTGTGTTTTCTCCATGACAACAGGCACAGACAAACAGTTGTCTCCAAAGATAAAATCCCGGTTCCGAAAGGTGTTCTAGCTGTCCTCTAAGCTACCGACGCAGGTGGGCTGGAAAGCGCTCCCAGCCCAAGAAAGTGCGAAAGACTCCCCAAAGCCTGTCGCCAGTTCCCTCCGGGCCAGAACTCTTCTCCCAGACCTCGCCATTCGTGACTCTGCAAGACACGGGGACCGAGACATACGTGTGGGAGTGTGCGTGAGGGAGAGAGGCGAGACGCGAGTGCGCTCCACATGTGAACCCCGCAGTTTCATAGCTGCGTTCATTCATATGCATGCGGTTGTTGAATATTTGATCAAAGGTGGAATAGTTACACGGATCGGGCGTATTTTTAATGGGCACACCTTAAAATAGGGTGTTCGTAAATTGCAAGTGTGAAAAGATCCTAAGTGTCGTCCCTATGTCTCTCCGGTTCTACGCTTCCCTCCCCCAAGGCCACTACCCCCACCCCCCAAAAAGGGAAGCTTGCAGCAGATTGTAGAAGGATTTGAGCCTGCAGCTAGAGAGAAGGGGATTAGGACCAGAGCGGTGCAAGTTAAACTGTGCTGCATATAAAATATGGGCGGATTGGTCTCCAGATCCAGAGGCTGGTACCACCTTCCTTTCTAAAATAAAATCTCTCTGGCATGAAGTCACCGCCTATTTCACATCCGGTTTGCCCTGGGACGTATTACTACTGTCTTGGTAAAGAGAAATCTTTTGTTGTATAGCTGCAGATTGGATATTGGGAAGCAAATTTGGGTGTGAAATCTTCAGCAAAGGAGCACGCAGAGTCCATGATGGCTCAGACCGAGTGAGTGAGAGGCAGAGCGAGGACGCCCCTGCGCTCGGCGCGCCCGGACTCGCAGACTCGCGCCGGCTCCAGGCTCTCCACAATTCTCTCTCGCAGACTTTTCCCGGTCTTGAGCGATCCAGTGCCCGGAGGGGGCCGGAGGTAAGTGCGGCTTCGGACTGCGATATCCTGAGCCGTGAACGCGGCTTTTCCTCGCTGGAGAGACGGGGATGCACGAGTGGAAAAGAGAGAGAGATAGAGAGAGAGAGAGCAAAGCGGGAGAGAGAGACGAGAGGGAGGAAGCTCGAGAGAGAGAGCAGGAAAAGAGCCTGATCCCAGACCAGGTAGAAACAGCGAATGTTTTTCTTTCAGGGTGAAACCGCAGCAGTATTATAGGAGCGTTATTATTCTGTTACCTTCATTATTATTATTAATTTCCCCTCTCTCTCTGCTCCTTTCTCGGGCATATTTGATTTTATTCTGCGGGTGGGGTGGGTGGTGACATATCGATTGGGGTTATTTATTTATTTATTTTCTGGAAGAGGGAGCTGGGTGAGTTGGGGAGGGGCGTGGGGCGCTGGGGGCCATCGTCTGAAGTTAAGACGCTGAGACAGAAAACCTGTCTCACAGTTCCATCCTTGGGAAGGCACTCTCGTGCTGCCTGCCAAATCGCCTCTTTTCTCCTTTCCAGTGGACGCTACTCAAATGCCCTCTGGTGTAAGGGGTCTCGCATTCTGAACGTGAAAAACTAAACTTAATCTTTTCTGGGACTGGCGTGGGAGAGCGGTGTTTGGAGTGTGAGTCTGGGGGAGGGGGCAGGTGGAAGGTGGAAAGTGGGGAGGCAGCGGCTTAGTTTCTTTTAAACTATTATGTTTGTATTTTCAAGAAACTTTCTTCCTCCACAACTGAAGTGCTGGGCTGGGTTTGTTTTTCTCTTTTTAAAATGTCAGAAGAGGGCAAAAAGCTATGGTGCTTTGCCTCAGGGGGGATGTCGTGTTTTGTTTACCCCTTCAGGAATTCCACCTCCTTAGAAAGATCAGGGAATATTAACAGAGCTAAGGGAAGTTGTTTTCTCTCCATAACAGATGTTAAAGATTAATCAAATGGTAAATTATCGTTGTGCAATTTAGATGCAATATTTTAACATAATATTTATCCAAGATTTCTTGCCATATTCAACACATCTGGGTCAAAACCAGTCACTAAATTAAGTAAAAGCTATGAAGAGGCTCCCAGTTTTTCTCTCAATCATTCCACTCTAAACATAGGATGTTCCATTGCTTACATGTCTGTCCGTAATGGTTTTTTACTCATTTAAATGATTCCCAAGAATGTGAAAAGCATTTTGTGGATGTCTTTAGAGGCATACCACATTAAACTGTAGAGTGCTTCATGAAAAATAAGCTTTAAAAGACTTGCCATCCATTAATCACTCAGTCTCCTCGGGAGTATAGATTCAGGGAATTATTAACAAATGTATTTCTCATCTTATGTTCGGATTTAATTATAGCATGTTAAAGTAAAATGTTGCCAAATCTGCTCGGTAATCAGGGAGTGCATTGAATTTCAAAAATCAACTTTACACATAGACTACATGTATTTTCAATTCTCTAAGCTTTCTGTACTCCGTTCTTCCAGCACTACACTCCCAAGTCTCAATTCAATGATGAGATGGTGATTGATTGCACTTTACCTAAGAGGGGAAAAAGATCTCCTTATTCATGCAAAGCAAAGCACTCCAACTTCCCATCTGTTTGATAAAACATTTTATCTAGCAGCAACCTGGCTGCATTTGAGAGGGCTCAAAAGATCTGTGCAGGCATGTTTAAGTGCGCTGATGTGGTGTGGTTTGTATGTGTGCAAGCGAGATCAGCATATGGCTTGACTATAAAGTGTGTCCTTTAGCCTCACAGAAGCATTAGGGAGCGTCTTTAATAAGGCATACCAGGCACAGAATTTAAGCACGATTCTGACATTCAACAGTGTGTTTCCTATGGTTTTTTTTTTTTTAAGAAATAAAAACAATGGCTTCTAAAGTAAAGATATATCTAGAATTCAAAGATCAACTCAGTCAACAGAGCATGTTAACCCACCTCATCCCAGCCCCAACCATGTTCTCCCTGTTAGAGACGCCAGCTTAACATTTTTAATGCACAGTCAGTTGTGAGTGCTCAAATCAGAAAGGTCAAAATGTTCAGATGATAAACAACAACAAGGGAATTATCAAACTATACTGTAAATATAAAATAGTAGAAAAATAACTCACAGTTTTTATGTGGAGCAATATTGTCACTTGAAAGCATTTCAGCTTGTATCTTTTACAGGAGAAAATTAAGACACTGATACATTTCTGAATGAGAAATGGAAGGGAAAGTGGAGAATGGATGGTCCAGGTTCCCATTGCTTCCAATGAGGTGTCATATCCCAGTGAGGTCATTTCCTGACTTCAAAGCATTCATCTAAACTGCCTCAGTCAGCCCTAGTGGTTATAACCTGATGTTTCTTGCAAGAGACATTGATCTCTACTTCTTTTACTTTTCAGCTGCTCAAGCCCGCAATGAAGAGAAGTCCAGGTTTCTCTGACTGTCTTTGGGTCTGGACCCTCCTTCTGAGCTCTTTGACTGGAAGAAGGTGGGGACACTTTATTTTAAATCTGCATGAGAATTTCTGTAACTTTTCGTTTATTCCATCAGGGGGAAGAAAATTGTCCTTAGATGAATTCATGACTAAGGGAATTCAAAAAACTTCTCTGCAACAAAATTCCAGCTAAGAATAAGGAAGAGTAGTATGGAAAGAAAATTAATCATCTTATTTGTGAGTTCATTAGAAGACACTGGCCAAACCTTTGTTAAGGAATGTAGTAAATTCAACATTTAAGCCTTAAATTGAACTTTTCCCTGTTGGGTTGAAACTGAACAAGACATGCGATTACCTTATTCATAGAAAAAGTTACCCCAATTAATGTTTGCTTATTGGGTAAGTTGGTTTTCTAACAAGAACATTTCTAGCTAATTCTAAATATCATAGAGTAACTTATAAATATAGAGACGTAGAATGTTTAAAATAATATTTTTAATTTGAAAGTCATAAGTCTATAACTGCATGTGCTCATTATGTTTTAAAACCATTATTATAAACTAGTAGAGGTAAAATATATTAGACAAATATTCAAGAACTTAAGTGGGTAAAATCAAACTTCTAATTAAGCATAACTACTCTGAAGACAAGTTCTCAAAAAAATTAATAATAAGCCTAACCGTTATTTAAAATATTTTCTAATGATCCAGTCAAGCATGTAATTTTATTATAGTAGCAACCATATAAAGGACCAAATATTACAGATTTATTTTTAATCAGCTTTTACAGTTCTTATATAGCTTATTCCCGAGGCCCATAAGGATGTCTTAGACATATTATTAGAACAGGAATTTCTTTAGAATGTAATGGAAGTTGAACTCTTTTGAGTTAGGGCAGAGAGAATTGTCTGGAAAGACATCCTTTCAACTTAAAAAGCTTTCAATTAAAAAGTTTTTTTTAATTGGAAATTAATTTGTTGTTAATTTTTGCTATTGTATGTGGTGAACATTGACCGCCAAGTGAACCGGACTTGCAGAAATGTCAGATAGTCTTAATCGAAGAAGTTAGATGGTCTTTACTGCTTTTTAAAAATTATATGAAGTGTTACTATTGTAATGACCTGTAGATGGAGTTAGTGCACAGTGTTTTATTATATAGTGGTTCATATGGAATCAAAATTGGATTCTGTAAACTGGCATTCCTTTTCAAAATATATATTCAGTTTAGAAAACAGTACTTTGGCATGAATGTTTAATGCCAAATAAATAGTCTTGATTTTTTTTTCCTAGGGTTCTTTTCTGGCAGTTACAATTTGACATAGCGAGTTAAAAGTAAAGATGAGGAAGGACCTGGTTAGAAATTCTCATAAAAGAAAGATGTCCATTCCAATTGGGATAGCAGAACTAGTCTTCCTGGGGGAAGGTTCAGGGGGGTCTCTTTTGGCATTTTTATTACTATACAAACAATTTGTGAACATGCTTATTAGATAGAACTAGGGAAAAGGAATTTCCTGAATTTTATAAACTGTAAAAACATAGAGGTTCAGGTAAAAGTACTAAACATCCCATATTCTAAGGATCGTGTTAACTATGTGATTGTACTTTCTGTTATTACCCTGCCTCGTCTTTTCTCCCCTATTTATTTCATTGCTTTCTTCCCTGGAGGTCTTGATCAGAACCTTCTCACCGCTTAGGGTGTGCTAGCTGCTGGCATTTCTTTGCCATCTTTATCAAGATGACCTTCCAATATCCTTGAGAGATGCACGCATGACAGTTGGTTTTGTGACAATTAGTTTTTATAAATAATTGCATTCAGAACACTGTTTTTGCCTTACTGCTGTCATCTGCCAATGAGACCTACTGGAAGACACAGAGTTTGTTGAAAATTTGATTTAAAAAACCAGATAGATGCTTAATTTTGCCAAAGGAGAGACGAAGCTCTCAATCTGCATGGCATGCATGCTGAATTTAGAAGAATGAAAAATTGTTTCCTAGAGGTGCACTTCACGTATTTAATATTATGGATAGCCTTTAGCTATAATAAGTTTGTTAAATTAAAATTGTACCAGAAAAATGGTCATTTTGCATTTGGCCAGTACGAAATTAGTTACCTGCAAAACAGTGTTTATTTTGTAAATGTTATTATTATTATTCTATTCCTTGCTTCTGTCAAATAAGTAAATTCCAGTTTCGAAGGCTACTATTTTTCCTATATTTTTCAATAATATAAACACGCAAGCCAAAAGCATATTAAGTAGATAATACAAAAGTGATCGATTTGTGGCAGTCTCTTAGTTTACACCCTATACTCACTTTTTTTCACTCAAGGTCAGAGCTATCATTGAAGTATATTAGTAACTGTGTTTCATCCTAAGATAGAAAATGTTTCCCTCAAAGGATTTTGGAAGTGTCATGCTAATCATTAAATAAAATAAGGATTCAAGGAGCATACAGAGAAAGGCCACTGATAACAAAAAATACATAATATTTGAACTGCAGTCGGTATGTGGTTGAAAGAGAAAGACTATTAAAGGTAAGGAATAGCAGCTACATCTTCGACTAGGAACATTTAAATGAAAACAATTATTTCAATATACAGCAAAAGAAATAAAGTTTTGGCCTAAAAGTTGAGAACACTAGGGTCTGAGTTGAGCTTGCTTTTAAATAGCTGTGTCTTCTTAAATGAACCACTAAAAACTGTCCCACAGTTTAATAAACCACAAATGAAGAGTATTGAACCTGATCATTTCCAAAGTCTCTTTTATGACTAGAAAGATCAGAAGTGACAAAAATTCAATTTATTAGATGTTAGAGATGACAGATTTTGAAAACTGGCTCATACATCTTAAAGGGGAATGGACATTTTCACACTTACATAAAAATACAGTTATCCTAAGAAATGTTTTGTCCACGTTCCTCATCTGAATATCTCTGAAGAACGTCCTAAGAAACAAAACGCAGATCTATATGAAGTGGAAGAAGCAAGGGATATTTGTAGGTGAAAACTTAAGGTTTTGCTACATGCACAATTTAAAGCAAAACTCTCAATTATTTTGGTATTTCTTTTTAATTCGGAAAGAAGTTTCTCACATTTTTTTTTCTAGCATATATTAACATTTTTGCTTGCTCGGAGAAGACGTGCATTACAACATGATATACGTGCAGGGAATTCAAAAAGTAAGGAAACAAGTCATCTTCTGTAATTTCCCTTTTATCTTTAGAAATAGTAGTATAAAGAGCTTACCATCAATAAGGACAGGTAGGAGAAAATGACAGGAGTTAAAATGTAAATTGTTTTGTTTTGTTTTCTTTTGCCAAAATATTCTTCAAGTGAAGATTCAATAGAAAGAAAGGTAGAAAAAGCTGGAAAGAAATTTTAGTAGAAATGTATAATTTTGACATTGCTTCTCTTTATGCTTTGTTTCAGCTATGGACAGCCCTCCTTACAAGATGAACTCAAAGACAATACCACTGTCTTTACCAGGATTTTGGATCGACTTCTAGATGGGTATGACAATCGCCTAAGACCAGGATTAGGAGGTGGGTTGCATTATAGTATTTTTTGTTTTAGAGAATCATATGAGATCTCTTGTTGTTAACACGTTGCTTTCTCTCTAAATGGTGAAGTCATCAGAATGAAAACATACAGTTATAGGATGAATCCTATTTTGAATAGATCACTCTATGTTAATTCAATTTCCTGTGGCAGTTTCTTGTACATCCCTATATGTAGTAAAAGGCACACACAAATTTCTCGTCATAAAATGAAGAAGCTGTTACATCTATTTGACAAGCAAAAGGTTTTCTGTGTAATGGTTTGATTATACAGAAAAAAATAGGGATAATATTCAAACACAAAGATTGCATCTACTTCCCCATAGCACTGCCGTGTCTGCATTAAATTCCAACAGAATATCTCTAATTCTATTCTTTTAAACATTTATTTAGGAAAATCACCTATTGATCTATTATTTTGTGTTAGAGTACCACCACCTCTAGGATAATAGGCAAATGAGATAGATGGTGGTGAGTTTTTCCTTTTTTAGCCATACATAGCAAATTACATCCTAAATTTTTAATTTCATTTTTTGGTATATCCATTAATTGGTGCTGATGAATTTTTGCTTAGTAATAAGATAGCCCTTAGTAGCACAATATCTATAACAACAAGAATAAAGAGTTCTAGAAATTGAATGCTACTTGAAGAATCTTTGAATAAGATAATCCAACTATCTTATTTGTTTAAACAATGACTAATGAAGGCAAATCAAAATATTGATCTTAGGGTAAAACATGTTTAGCAAGGAAATAAATTATCCTTCAAAGGCACATAGGAAACCAAGGTTAGAATCTGTGACTTCCAGTGATAGCTGATACTGTACCTTTTCCAAAGCATTTATAGAATCTATTTACTGGCAATATTTAACTAGTAATTAAATGACAATATTTAGAAAGTTTCCTCTTGTCTTTTTAGACATCAGAGATAAGCACAGAACAAAAAGCTTATAAATTCAAACTAATTTTGCAACCCAGTGGATTTGGTCACTTAAAAAATAGTTTGCATAGTGTCATCACGTGGATTTGCATCATGAGTCTATTTTCAGTCTGGAAAAGGGCATTAGTGTCTCAGAGGGTTTAGGGAGAACTACCTTATCAAAGATGCAACTCAAACAGAATGTCAAAGGTCTCACCAGGTGTCTTTTCTAATCAATTTCAAATAGTCCTTTTAGGACATACTATACAAATTTCTTCAGGTTTAGGTTCCCTATATTTTTCACCTATGTTTTTAGAAAAAAAATTTTCTAAGTCAAAATAAGGTCATCACAAAATCGAGGGCATAATTTGTACATGATGTAGAACTATAATGTCTGTGTACATCTGAACATCTGGATTGGTTTCCAAAATGTTCTTGATTCAAAAAATGTACAGTAAATTATAAAGACTAGGTAAAGGAGGGATGTATAGAAGGGATGAAATAGTCAGATAAGTGATAGAACTTTTAAAAAGAAAGACTTTGAGGGTGCTGTTTGGAGTATATGTGATTCCTTTACTCAATCTCCTTCCTGCTGCATGATTACGTCTCCTATGAAATCAGCAGTTTTATAACATATCCAAAGCTTCTTATTTAATATTCTGTGTGTATGAGTTCCCCAAGAAGGATCTGTGCACAGTTTTTAACTTATTAAAAAAATCTTCTACACACATACACCTTCATGGTCAGCCACGTGGTTGGGTCACTGTGGGGAATACAAGTTACAACCCATGACTGCTCATTTCCATTTAATTATATATAATATCTCTTTCATAAATGTACATATTCAAGCTACAATAAACTGTAGTCTAAGCAAGAATCATTGGACTAATCATCATAAGCAGACCTGTGGAGACCTGTGGACCTTGAGAATGTATAAATTAGACTATCAGTAGTTAGAAAAGGTAATTTTCATTTTTTTGAAATACTGGTGGATTTGCTTACAGAAATAATTACATTTATTAAGACTGTAACATTATTTTTATAGAATCTACTTTATTATCTGTTTAATCCCAGAAAATAACAAAAATAGACATGCATTTTTAAAAACTGGTAGTTAGCGAAATACATGTACACAAGATACCTTCTTTTTAATTGAAATGAATATAATGTGCTTTAGTAATGCAGAATTCTAGGACCTGAGGAAATTAAAATAGTAGATGTGTTTTCGTCTTTACTAAAGGTGATTTTCTGATATTTCTGATTCCTGAATTCCAAAATAACACTTAATGGTGGCCATTAAAACAAAAATGTAGCTCAAATATTTTCTCCTTTTATTTTAAATATCCTAATGGAATATAGTATGATTCAATATCACAGATTTGAGATTTATGAAAAAACTTTAATACTGACTAAAATTTTTTTAATGATTTTTGGAGTGCACTGTTTTAATCTTTAAGGGCTAAAATGATATGTTTTTATTACTTACATCTACACAATCATCTACAGCTTAAGTGTGTTTTGAGAATGTTTGTCATTAGAGAACTATAGTTTAAAACAGCAAATATTATTTTAAGAGCTTATTAAGACATACTTAGCTATAGAATTAGAGAAACATGTTAACTCAAGAATTGCTGGCTGCTGTAGGCTGAGGTATCCAATTTTATTCCCTTACCATAAATTTCCAATCACATAAGTTTGACATATATTTCAGTAGATTCACCTTGTGACCTCCCCTTTTATATTTTTACATGGGCCATTTGCTTTCAGATGAAAAGATCGTGCAAAGGAAATACTTCAAATATTATCATTAGCATAGAAGGGTGTAAAAGTTTTCTCTTGGTAAGTTCCCGATGACAGGCTACAGTTAGATGAAGGAGTCTGCTGTCTTCTTCATTATAACAAAAGTCCAGCTCTGTAAAAGTAATAACAGTGTGCAAAAGGCAAGGATTTTTAAAGCTGCAATTTGTGCAAATTCATCACGACCTGTTTCTCATAAATACGCACTGCTTCAGGAAGTACAGCATCACGTCTGGTGATACACACCTTGAATCCAATACCTGGGAAACAAAACGCATAAGTTGGTTGATCCAGATGATTGAAATCAGTTCGCATATATTTTAACACTGTTGAAAAGGTTACCTTTTCAGGGCCTAGCACAATCCTGAAAAAGTGAAAATCAATGGATAACACAAGAAGAGATCTCCTGGCAGGAATTTTTTTTTTTTTTTTAATGTAGGAGAACTAAAAAGAATTAGAATATGTAAAATTTTAAAAATATATTATACTCTATTCAGGATCATAAAGAGAAAAATGAGTTGGACATGTTCATAGTTTAAGTATAAAGGACATTTTAAATAGACTTGAATTAAAATATTCAGCATTCAAAAAATACAAATCAAAATTGTCAGTAGCTATCAAATTCATTCTCATATCTAATCTTTCTCTTGGGCAGCAAGATATGAGAGGCTGCAGCTTCCTTGTAACGAGGGGCTGAAAAATGTTTTCCAATAGCTCTTTTGTTTGTTTGTTTTTAACAATTTTGTTGAGGCACAATTGATATATTTTTTAAAAAACTCTTCTCATGCCCTTCTGTGTGGTGTGTGTTAGGGCAAGAATAGTTAATATAGAAATTTATTTATGACAAGCCAAAAAAGAAATTAGGGGGAGTGAGCCTGCTGGAGAAGGTGAAGGAGAATGACAGAGAGGCCAGGTAAGGGGAGGAATAGACCTTAGGAGCTTGGAGAGACTCAAGTGTCTCTTGATTAGTTAAGATGGGTCTTTTCACTTGATCTTGGGACCAAACCAAAATTATTTTAAGGACATTCTTTTTTTTTTTTTTTTTAATTTTTCTCCTTATTATCTGCTTTACAATGAATGAAAGAATCCTGGTTGTCTTTCAGCTTCCTGAAAAATTAAATAATGCTTCCACTGAACTGCCCCCATCTCCTTGAAATTTCAGCTACTTTTATCTTGGCTTCTCCTAGAGTCTGGGAGTGATTTTGAAGGGAGATTTTTAATTTGTTTTTGACATTTAATTCCCTGTCCCTTTGCTTTACCATATATTCAGGCTACACTTTGTTTATGATATGCCAAAATTCCAGGGTTAGCCAGGCTGATGGACAGCTCCCTGTCTACGTGGGATGCCACTAAGCTAAGGGTCTCTCCTTCCTCCTGTCCATGGGCTCATCCTCACCCATCTAGCTTACCAAAAAATCACCTTCTTCTAAAAGCCAAATCATTTCACCTTGTGGAAAACAAATTCGGGCAAATTCTTTAACCAGAACATAGATGAGATAGAGCTGAAGAAATTGTTGAACCACACTGTGAAAAAACCACAGGAGAAATAACTTTCTACCACCTCTCTCCTTAGTTCCCAGAAATATTGTTTAATTTCTAAATTCAGTCCTACATACATAATCTCAGTAAATAAGGTACAGGATGAGGGATGCCTCTCAAAGATTCCTTCTTCAAACCACATAGATACACGTGGTACAGGAAGGAGTAATGAGTGACAGACCCAGCGAGGTGTGTGGAAAAGGCAATAATAGGTGAGTAAGAGAGTAGGTGGGGAAGAGACTTTATGTCTATCCCTAATACTTAAAGTTTTCTTCTTTTTTCCTGGAAATGTACTTTTGGATGTTTTAGTAATGGAGACTTTGTTTTGTTTTCATTTTTACTGTTTTTGTTTGACAATGTCAATTAGAAGAGTGTTTGTAACTAGAGCTTTCTCTCCTGGAATTTGAACACTAATATATCGTCTAAAAAACAATATATGTCTCAAGCCGACTTTCCCTTGATCATCACAATTTTCCTAATATTGTATTATTTATGCCTGTATAAAACTATTAGTTTAACTAATGGAAGAGATCTCAGCTGTAAGACATCAATTTCCGACAACTGAAGCAGGGCAAGTGGGTGGGGAATTAGCTGCAGCTCACAAAATGGGGTTGGCTTCTTAGGGCATGAGCTTCGCACCTGGGTTGTGTTCCTTTGTGTAACAGTTAGGATAACTGGAAAACTAAGAATGCTATGAAAAAAGTCAGATTAATTGCTGTGAAATTTCGTT